TAAAAATGGTAGCACACATTTATATTTATTTGACTAGCAGTGAAGGCAAACAATTTTTTTCTGTATACAGGTCATCTACATGTATCCTTTTTTTTTTTTTTTTTTTAAAGAGCTAGGGGCTTGCTCTGTCACCTGGGTTGGAATGATGTGATCATAGCTCACTGTAGGCTTAAACTCTTGGGCTCAAGCTATCCTCCTGTTTCCTGAGTAGATGGGACTAGGCACACACCACCATGCCTAACTAATTTCTTAAATATTTTTAGAGATGGTGATCTATATGCCTAGGCTGGTCTCAAATTCCTTACCTCAAGCAATTCTCCCATCCCAGCCTCCTGAGTCACTGGAATTATAGATGTGAGCCACCATACCTGGCTTTTATTCTTTTATAATTTATACAGTTACGGTGTCTGGCCTATTTCATTTCTGGGCAGTTAAATTTTTTTGCCTCTTAAATAACTTTTTAAAAATGTTAACGCAGTGTATTATAAAATAAGCAGAAATATATGCAGGAACTTTGCCTTCCTGTAAAGGCAGGTTAGGTTTTCAGACCAACATTCATATGGAAACAACTAAACTTGGCACAAAATATTTATTTGGACGTTAGTAAGAAAATACCAGGAACCCAGAGAATTAATGACAGGTATGCATGCCTAGATGACATTTTTGCCCTGAGGGTATCTAACTACCCAGATGAAACAGATCTGCAATGTGATAAATTCTGAGCCAAGAAGACACAAGACAAAGCCCTGAGTCTGCTCCTGGTGAGGAGTCAGATCACCAGATATTAAGGCTGGGATAGTAAGGGTAATTTTTACAGTGAGAGTAGGTCAGGCATGGTAGCTCATGCCTGTAATCCCAGCACTTTGGGAGGCCGAGGCGAGGGGAATGTTTGAGCCCAAGCTTCAAGACTAGCCTGGGCAACTTGGCGAGACCTCGTCTCTACAATAAATCAAGAAAAATTAGCCAGCCATGGTGGCGCACATTGTAGTTCCAGCTACTTGGAAGGCTGAGGCAGAAGGATCACCTGAGCCCAGCAGGTGGAGGATGCAGTGGCCATGAGCATGCTACTGCACTCCAGCCTGGGAGTCAGAATGAGACTGTGACATACATACATACATATATACGTACATACATATATAAATACAGTTCTGGTCTGACAATGTGCCAATCTCCTGACAAATTTCTTTCGGGAAAAATACTTCAAACTAGGCCTCAGAAAGTCCCCAAAAGTGACTTCTCAAATGCAATCCCAAATAGTTAATGTCAACAACCTAGAGAAATAAGGAGCCATGACCAAGAACTGCAAAAACAAGAGAAAGCAGAAATGGTTTGCAAAAACTTAAGATACTGGAATTACCCCACACCTGATGTACTCAGTGTTTTCAAATGAAAGACTACCTTGAAAATATTTATAGGAGAGCCAGTTGTGGTGGCTCATGCCTGTAATCCTACCACTTTGGGAAGCTGAGGCAAGAGGATTGCCTGAGCCCACAGGTTCCAGACCAGCCTGGGCAACATGGCGAGACCTCAACTGTACAATAAATCAAAAACTTAGCCGGGCATGGTGGCACATACCTGTAGTTCCAGCTACTTGGAAGGCTGAAGCAGAATGCTCACCTGAACCCAGCAGGTTGAGGTTGCAGCGGCTGTGAGTGTGCCACTACAATCCAGCCTGCATGACAGAGTGAGACTCCAACTCAGAAAAATGTGTGTGTGTGTGTGTGTGTGTGTGTGTGTGTGTGTGTGTGTGTGTTCGGGAAACAGAAAATTTTAAATGGCAAAACTGACAAGAAAAACAAATGGAAAATGTAATAATAACCAAAACTAAAATCTCAATGGATGTAAAGATATTAGACTATATAGTAAAAGAGAGAATTTGTGAACATGAAGACAGGTCAAAACAAGCTATCCAAATGCAGCACAAACAGATAGCAAGGTAAGTGATTAAGACATATGGAAGTGGCCAGGTGTGGTGGCTCACTCCTGTAATCACAACACTTTGGGAAGCAGAGGCGAGAGGACTGTCTGAGCCTGGGGGTCCGAGACCAGCCTGGACAATTGGTAAGACCTCATCTCTACAATAAATCAATTTAGCCGGGCATGGTGCACTCTTCCAAGTAGTTCCAGCTACTTGAAAGGCTGAGGAGGAAGGATCGCCTGAGCTCAGCAGGCCAAGGCTGCAGTGACCATGAGCGTGCAACTGTACTCCAGCCTGGGCAACAGGGTGAGACTTTGACTCCAAAAAAAAAGATATATGGAAGCTAGTGTGAGAAGTTCTAAAATACAACTGAATGCACTTCTAGAAGGAAGAGAGATGAAGGAGTGAGAAGCAGTACATAAAGAAATAATGGCTATTGTTATTTAATGCTAAAGTTGGCCAGGCAAAATACCTCATGCCTATAATCCCAGTATTTTGGGAGGCTGAGACAGAAGGATGTCTTGAGGCCAAGTAATCAAGACCAGCCTGTTGCCTTCTGTCTCAGCCTCCCAAATTTTTTTTGTATTTTTTGTAGACTCTATCTCTACAAAAAAATACACAAAAAAATTAGCTGGGCATTGTGGCACGCCCCTATAGTTCCAGCTACTTGGGAAACTGAGGAAGGAGGATCATTTCAGCCCAGGATGTTGAGGCTGTGGTGAGCCGTGATCCAGCTTGGATGACAGAGTGAAAGCCTGTCTCAAAATAAAATAACTAAAAGAAAAATGTTAATGCTAAACTTGTCTTAGCATGGCAAGTGGGAAGCTTCCTTCAAGGTGAGTTGTTTACATAACTGATGAAAGAAGTCAATGTATAGACTCAAGAAGCCCAACAAACCGTACATAGTAATTTTTTTTTTTTAAGTCAGGAGTCTCACTCTGTCACCCAGGCTGAAGTGCAGTGGCATGAACATGGCTCACTAGAGCCTTAACTTCCTGGGCTTCAGGTGATCCTTCTGCCTCAGCACCCAAGTAGCTGAGACTATAGGTAAACACCACCACGCGTGGTAATTTTTTTATTTTTTATGGAGACAAGGTCTCTCTATGTAGCCCAGGCTTGTCTTGAACTCCTAGGTTCAAGCGATTTTCTTGCTCGGCCTCCCAAAGTGGTGGGATTACAGGTATGAGTCACTGTGCCCAGCTGGATATTTATTTCTTAGTACGACTGCATTTTACAACTGCTCTCATCTAATCCTGAGGAATTCTTTTTTTTTTTTGAGTTGGAGTCTCACTCTGTCGCCTAGACTGGAGTGTAGTGGCCGCTCCTGGCCACCGCAGCCTCGACCTGCTGGGCTCTGGCAATCCTTCCGCCTCAGACTCCCAAGTAGCTGAAACTACAGGCGTGCGCTACCACACCTGGCTAATTTTTTTATTTATTGTAGAGATGAGGTCTCATCAAGTTGCCCAGGCAGGTCTCGAACCCGCGGGCTCAGGTAATCCACTCACCTCAGCCTCCCAAGGCACGAGATTATAGGCTGAGCCACCGAGCCTGACTATCCTAAGGAATTCTAATAAGAAGTTCGGAAAAGCTGGGCACAGTGGCTCACGCCTGTAATCCCAGCACTATGGGAGGCCAAGGCCAGAGGATTGCCTGAGCCCAGGGGATTTGAGACAAGCCTGAGCAACTTGGCCAGACCTCATCTCTACAATAAATCAAAAAATTAGCCAGGCATGGTGGTGCATGCCTGTAGTCTCAGCTACTCGGAAGGCTGAGGTGGAAGGATCACCTGAACCCAAAAGGTGGGGCTGCGGTAGCCATGAGTGTGCCACTGCATTCCAGTCTGGGCAACAGTGAGACTGACTTTAAAAAAAAAAAAGAAGTTTGGAAAAGACGACTAGCTCTTGGAAAAAGACTTACTATTAGCTCTAGGGCTTAATTCTAATGGCAAAACTTCTGGTAAAATAAAATCATTTTAAAAAGTAGATGACAGAAATCAGCCACAAAACTAGGCCCATTCTGAAGGTTAAGGGCTCAAAACAATGTATATCTGTCCTTTTATATGATATAACAACCTTCATTTTGAAAATGTTTCTATTCTAGTCTTGATGTGTTTCTGAACATAGATTATATATCTCACTAAGAAAGACGTGTATTTACCTTGTATTATCATTATAACCTCATTTTTTTAAAATTGGAGTCTTACTCTGTTGTCCAGGCTGGAGTGCAGTGGCACACTCATGGCCACTGCAGCCCCGACCTGCTGGGTTCAGGTGATCCTTCCATTTCAGCCTTCTAAGTAGATGGAACTACAGGCATGTGCCACCATGTCTGGTTAGTTGCTTTTTTTTTTCTTAATATATTGTAGAGATGAGGTCTTATCAAGTTGCCCAGGCTTGTCTCCAACCCCTGGACTCAGCTATCTTCTTGCCTCTGCCTCCTAAAGTGCTGGGATTATTTATAGGTGCGAGCCACCATGCCTGGCCATAACCTCCTTATTTTAAAGAAAAAAGTGGCAATTTCCTTTAGATGCTATACAGGAGGAAACATGTCATACTCATTTAATTTCTGGCACTGAATAGTAAGTAGTACAAGAAGTTTTTTTGCATTAATAAAATTATATTTCTATCCTTTCTTAAACTCAAGGTAATCACAGACATTATCATACTTAGTCGTTTCCCAGGACATGGATGTCCTGGGGAGGAAGATTCCATAGGAAAGGTAAAATCTTTCCTCCATATTTCACTATAGAAAGGAAAAATGAATACTCTCTTCCTAACAGAATGTACTGCCACCTTGATGGCATAGAGGATGGGGATGATGGAGGAATGATTATGTATTACCAGATCAATAATTAGTATGCATTGAACTTAGGGTACTGTGAGACTGACCTAAATGTGAATACACAACTTTTGAGTTTCCACTGCCTTTGGATGCAGTCTAAAAGGAACTGCAGAGGTTTTAAAACATTTGCAACATAAGTATAAAGTTCATGAATGTTAGAGACTGTGAAGTTATCAAGTGTAAAACAACTATAAGTACTCAGATTAAAATGTAAAATATTAAAAAATACTAAAGCACTTACCTAGATTTATCCAAATTCCACCTGGCTTGAGTATTTTCCATATTGTATCAATATAATCAATTACATTGTGAGCTGTGTCTATGAAGAAACAGGTAGCAATACAGTCCCAGGTATCTAATCAAGAAAAATAAAATTACTGCATCTTTTATTTTGCTTTTTCTTTAATTAATCCTTTGAACTTGCCAGTTACTTTTTTTTTTTTTTTGAGTAGGAGTCTCAATCCATTGCCCAGGCTGGA